TTTCAAAATTAATGCTGTTGAAAAGGGTATTTGGGGCAAAAACACTGACAATATAGGTACATGGGAAGAACGACAAACAAAATAAGACTAGCAAAGAGAAGGATGGAAATAGCAATGTTGGGTATTTCCGTGAAAGATGAGGTTTCAAAAACCGTGTTGTTTTATTCAAAAGTTCTTCACTTTTCAGTTAAACACAAATAAAATTTAAAAAATCCTGTTTTGAATTTACAAAAATATTCATCCGATATATAATATATCGATTTTAATATTGTTTCATTATCTGAAAATGCTTGAGTTTCAGAAAATTTTATTTAGACTGAGCGCTATACAGATTTTTTACATTTTGACCTGGATTTTCAGGTTTGTTATTTGTTAAAATGTCTTGAACATTTTAATACTGACACTGAAAAAAAATACCAAAGTCAAAAATCAGTATTTTGTTGAACTCAATAGTCCTATAATTTAATATTATTACTGAAATATTTCAAACTTAACCGTCCTGTACCTACATATCCATTGACTAACAGATATGATAAAAAAATTATAAAAATTTGGAAACTAATTTCGACATGTTATCTTTCTAGTTAATAAAATTTCTTTAAAAAACTTAGTTTTTATTTGAAACTATTTCTTATTTCTAAAATTTTATTTCATCATGAAAATAGTATATTTGATATAACAACTAGCCTTAAACAAGGGGATGCACTGCCACCAGCTTTTTTAGCCCTTAGAGAAGGTGATTAGACGAACCGAACTAAATTTGAGCATCTTCGGCAATAGCTGACACAGACTGATTCTGGCGTATGCAGACGATCTGGATGTGGTGGAAAGAAGTACAATTAGCGTGAGGGAAGCCTTTATAATACTAGAAAAAGGGGCAAAAGATGGAAGAAGACTGAACGTCAACGAAGAGAAAACGAAGTATATGCATATAACACGAAACACAGGACGATATCGAATACGAATATTTTTACTATGGATGAGTACAACTTCGAGCACGTACGATCTTTCCGATGCCTAGGGGCATTAATAACATCAGATAATCACACTAAAGTAGAAACAAAACAGCGCATAGTACAAGGAAATAAATGTTATTACGCAACCCAGAAATTATTACGATCAAGAATCCTGACCAGACAAACGAAAATAAATACATATACAGGGTGATTGAAAATTTCATTTCTTGTATATGAAACTATTATAAGACCAGTTGTAACTTATGCTAGCGCAATATGGACCATGGCCGTGCAAGAGACGTTACTACTCAATCAGACTCAATCGTTTTGACTAGTTTTGATAGAAAGATCTTTAGGAAAATATTTGGAGCAGTCTGGAATCAACAAACGTTGCTGTATAGGATGCGCACGAACAACTAGGTATACGAACTACATTACCTAATGTAGAGTACAAGAATTAAAAGAAAGACTAATTAAAATGGTCTGGGAAGAAACCCCTAACAACAAAAGGCTACTTGGGCGCTCAAAACTTCGATGGCCTGATATAATCCGCAAGCATCTTCGAACCCTGGWGGTGCTCAACTGGGAAGAAGCCACTCAGGACCGGAGAGAATTGATCAGATGTTGAGGCGTCCAAGACCTACTCCGGATCGTACAGCCACGGACTGGATTGGATGAAAATAATACAATACGATACAAGAKATGAATGTCGAAGTTCCACCYCTGTGTGAAGTTCGCGAYCCATCAAGAAAAGAGAATCTYCTAAACCTCATYCATATAAAAAARGAAGATAGCAAACAATATTCGACAGTATTTGAATCGTGAATTATTTTTATTATAACCCTGAATTGCAATGTTATTTTGACCAAACAAATGTATTAACTCTCGGTACCTATCGATTTTTAGATGGTCGCTGGGATGCTTTATTTTTAATATATATTAAACTCTAACTAGATATATTTAAATAATTTTCCACAGACGGTGGTGGGGCCCCAAGCTTTAACCATGAAAGGTTAACTTGACTTGCGAATGTAATGAAAAATTGCCAATAAGATAAAGTAACCACATTTTCATTGATACAAAGCGGTACAAATGAGATGAAATGAGAAGTACAATTTAATTATATATTTTTATTGTATATATTCATATACTTGTATAAAAATGTATTTATTATTAATGATTGGTAAGTATGTAAATATTTGTAAAAAAATTTAATTTGAACATCATAATTTTTTATCAAATACAATTTTTGATTTAAAAAAATTATTATTTTCTTTCACGGTCATATTTTTGATCCGAGTGAATACTTTGCAATAGATTCGGATCATTTATTAAATTCTGAAAGATACTACCCGAGACTCACCAGAGAGGCCATCGAAATTTTTAAACACCAAAACAATTTTAACAGAAAAGAAGAAATTACGGCACTCAATCCAGATTGGAAGCGCGTTTTGCGCCAAACAGCATGTGCGCCGAAGCGTTGGAACCCCCACCCATCCCCCACGCATGAGCACACACGGCTGGGCTGCATAAATACGACGGGGAATCCAGCAGTTGACTCATAGTGAGAAGATGTGTCAGTTAATCGACAGTTACATTTGCAGAAGGATATTCAGCGTCAAAGTTGGAAACTGCAGGTCAGAGGACAGAAGCACAGAATCTGGAGTACCGCAAGGAGCGGTACTCTCTCCGATGCTATAGAATATCTTTACCAGCGACATACCAAGAACCGCCAACAAGTCCCTGGCTCTCTTTGCGGATGACACAGCTCTAATGTCATCTTCCTGGCAAAAAGAGCATGTGCGACGAGACCTGCAACTTGCGGCAGATGAACTGCAGAAGTGGTTCATCAAATGGAAAGTGAAGGTTAACGCATCAAAGAGGCAGGCCATCCTTATTGGAAGGAAACGTGACAGGATTGATGGAAACATCAATCTTGACGGAGAAGAAGTCCAATGGGCAAGTAATGTCAGGTATTTGGGTGTTGTTTTAGATACGCGACTGACCTGGAGGCAACATCTGACGACTGCGATCAACAAGGCAAAGGCTACAGCTGCAACGCTGTATTCACTCCTGAACCGAAGAAGCCAAATGCGTGTGAGGAACAAACTCCTACTCA